AGAGTATTGAGAGAAGAGCCATTTCTCCCTCCTTTCTATCTTCACTTCTTGTAGTGAATTCAAATGGGGCTGACCAAGACATGGCAACCTCAGATATATGCCACTGCATAGATAGGTTACATATATATACACACATACTTCCTTAAAAGTATAGATTAAAAGTAGGTTTCACCTTTATTTTTGATGCAGAAGATGATAGAGTCTTGAAGAACTAAAAATATCCTGACACCAAGAGAAGGGAAGAAACTGAATAAAGAGAAGAAAGCAAACAAGCAAGAACCTAAATAATGTGATACCAACCTACCCATCACTCATTGACACCTGCTCCATCAGTATCTTTAGTACAGCTCAAAAGGAAACAGTAATTCAGTGGAAACTGCACAGCTGTAAGTTTAATCAACACATATACCCTTCCAGAGACTGGAAAATCCAAATGCGCTCAATACTTTTCAGCTTTGCTTATTGCTAGTTTTCTAGGAGTGGCTAGAGGGTGCAATTAGGTTCCCCATGTGCCATGTTGAGTGGCTTCACATAGCAACACAAGCATTTACTGGAGTGTTTAAATGTCTAATATGTGTGGGTATATTGGAAGCACCACGGAGAAGAACTGTAACAGGGGTGTGTGATTTCAAAACCCAGCAACAACCACTGTTTTGTGATACTATGCCATTTAATACTGCTGTTTATTCACCCTGCAGCATCTCTTGGGCCTCTATAGAAAAAAGAATGTGAGCCTTAAGCTGCAGAGGATCCAGAGAATAAAAACCTTTCTGATGATCTTATGCATGTTACTTAACTGACTTTTTTTTTTCTTTTTTTTTTTTTTTTGCTTTTTTTGTTATTGTTTATCCAGTTTTCTTGAATATGGGACTGAGGCAGGATAGGGAAATTCTTGTTCTCTGTGTGAGGATACTAAAATGAAAATTAGCATATGCAAATATGGTCTGTGTAGGATTAGTGTTAGTAAGAAAAGTAAAAGAAAGCCCCTGCACTACACAAACAAAACTGTGACAGTCAGCTGTAGGTTCTGAAGTATTCATTTGAATATCCATACTTCACTATCTATTTACTTTTTATAAAAAGGCCTCTCACGCCTGTCCATATTTGCAAAGAAATAGTTGCTTTCAAGTCTCAGATCTTCAGAAGTCAGCAGAGGAGTGCAACGATGGCTACAGCATGAATCTGGAATGAGCTGGACTTCAAAGCTTCGTTAGAGAGCTTTCAAACACAGTAAATATATCCTTGTGTACTGCTTACAGATGCAGCTGCTTATAATAATTTGGAAAGCTAACATGTTTATTAGAAGCCCAGATAAAAAAAACAAAACACAACAACAACCCAAAACGAAAACCAAAACCAAAACAAACACCAAAACCAAAACAAACAAGAGAGAAACATGGAAGATACTTTCATCTGACTCCTCTGACCTAGATGCAGCAACACACACAATCCTTTGGAAGCTCCCCTTCATTAGCATCTACCCTCATGGAGCAATTCTCTCCCTCAGTTAAGCCACCGGGGCCAGCAAGTAAGTGCAAGAGAAGATGCCCTTGATGCAAAATTAAGTAATTGCATTTAATTGAATCCAAGCTCTCTAAATGAAGATTTGGAAAGTGGGTTGTGTTGTTTGGTCTGTGCCTTTCTTTCCCTGGAGGGCAGTGTGGCACCTCTGGCAGATGATACAATGCTGAAAGCAACCAGGTGCATGGATGTGTCTCCAAGCCGTGTCTCAGAGAAGATGGCTGGTTCCACTGCTGCTCTCCGTGTCCGAATGTGCTGCTTTGCCCCATGCTGTGCCGGGCCAGAATGGCTAGGGCCTTGAAAATATCTGGGGTTAGAAAAACATCCTCTACCCTGTGTTTCCCTGGTCTCTGGCTATGATTCTATTTCACAGCTTGAGCACCCTCCTCTCCTCATTCAGCTTGTGTCTGGCGGGTGGTGGCGGGAGGCAGTTGGGGATGCTGCAAGGCTGGCAGCTGCCCACAGCCTGGCAGGGGCTCACAGAGCTCCTGTGATCAGTGCAGCACTGAATTTGTGGTTGGGAGAGGCACTTTGAGATCTTTTTGTCCTGCCAGTTGTTTATAAAGACCAAACTGACAAAAAAAAAAAAAAAAAAACAACACCAAAACACACAAAACTAAAACAAAAAACCAACCCCCAAAATAACATAGCACTAGTTTTTGATTCCTGTCCAAACTCTTGCACTTCACTGCAAACTACCCCTACCTCCCTTTTTAACCTAATCTACTCCTATTCTTTTTTTTCTCCCTTTTCTCCTCTCAGTTCAAAACATCTCCAGCCACAGGTTATCTCCCTGCACAGAATATGATTACCAATGACTGCTGCTGCCTTCTGCAGAAGAAAAGCCAAGGCTTCACTAATTTGACGCCACCTGTACCTCATACTCCTGAAATGGGCCCTTCTGAAAGCCTGGAAATCACTATGGGGTTTTTTGCCCCAGAACCACGTTGCCAGATGTTACTCAGATGAGCCAAGCCTAGTGGCACAGGGGTCTGAGCTCAAGCACTGCCATGCCTCAGCATGGGGCAAATGCTCTGGGGAAGGCTGAATGTGTCCCTGTTACAATGACAGGCAGCTGAGGTGACAAACACCATCAGATCCACAAACCTTCTCCAGCCAAGTGAGACCAAGGACCCAGTAACCACTCAGTCACAGGCTTTCTCCCCTCTTTACACCCATGCAGTGGAGAAGACACACTCCCAAAGTCCTCCTGTCACCTCCACAGGAGATGTTCCTTCAGCTTCTTGTAGAATGCAGGCAGGAGCATGGCAGAGCTCTTCAATCTATTCTTTCCTCTTTCTCTGCTTGGGTTAGAAAGTGCTACATCCTGGAATGACTGTGGGCAGCTCCTTTGAAGAAGCAAGCCCAGGGACTCATAAATCCAGGGGTTAGCTGAGAGTCAAGAATTCAGGACTGACCTACACTGGTGGAGCTGTATTTCCAAGGGAGCAAAGATGCACAGCCCTGTGCCTACGCTCCCCTTGGCTTTCTCATGTAACCTGAACGTGTCCCTAGCTGTTTGCTCTTGTTTTTCACTCTGAAATGCATAACCAAGCAGACCCTCATATCCCTGACACTGTGAGATTATGGCACTTTGGAGACCAGAGTCTTGGTCCTCATTCACCCACTGAACTACTCTGTCACCACGAAGAAACCATTTCATCCCTGCATCACCCCATAGAGACTGTCGCCTCTTCAGGACATCCAACCTCACCCAAGGGAGCACTACACCTTGCAAAGAAAGGATCTAGTCGTGGTCAGGATTAGATGATACCAGTAGAATATTTATAAGTAAAAGAACTTACACAGACAAAGAACTGGGGGGGAGGGGAAGGGGAGAAGTCAATTCTAGCAGTAATAGTTGTTTTTCACTACCAAATTTTTCCATATTAGTAATTTTTTCATGTAGTTGGATTTAATCCACTTCCACAATGGTTTAACCTAAAACAGAATAGGATTAAATGTGTTTATATGGAGATTTAATTCTATTAAACTCTAATAACTATTACTGGTTATATTTTCTCTATAAATAAGAACAGAAATACACCTCATGCAATCTGACATTCCTCAGCAAATTAGGAGCAGCTTATTTTGGATGAGCTACTTCAGTTGTCCCTGACCCTTTTCAGAGACGCTACACATAGGCCTGTCCAAACCTATGTCCCAGGAATAGACAAACCCCAAAGGAGTTAATCAGAAGAAACTGAATTAACTGTGTTTATCAGTGCACCTCAGAGTAAAGAGCCATACTCTGGTCTTACGGCAAGTGCTAAATTCATTAATGTGATGGAGATTCAGTGTAGGGCTTCATTTCCTTTATAGATGGGATTGTGAAAGACTGCCTCATATGACACAAATCCTGTCTCATGAGACCAGGTTCCTGTTTTTCTTGTTTTTAATGTATTTATTTTGGGAAGGAGGAAGAATGCAGGTGATGTTAATTATTGAGCTGGCAAAGGTTAACTGGAAGTTAACTGATGGTCAACCCTGGGAACTGAAGTATTTGGGTTATCTATAAGGCAGGCACACAGGAGACAGCAGCAACTTGAGACTCTCCATTTGATCTTAACCCCAACCTCTTTTCCCTCCCCTCTGTACCCACAGGTAACTTGGCATAACTGTGAACTCAGCTCATCACCACTTCCAAAGGGGGACCTTACTGAAAGGACAAGCAATGGGTACATTACTGCTGCAGCAGCTCCTGTGAGGTGCCAGCTTGTATAACTGAACCGAAAGCCAAGTGCAGACGAGGGCAGCAGCAATGAGAGGTCAGGGAGCCAGCTCAAGGCTGAGACACAC